GTCTCCGAGCCTTTCTAGCAGTCGATACCGTCGGCAAAGTGCGTTGTAATTTTGGTGTCTTGTCACGGGCAAAAATTCAGCACAGACTGTGCTGTATTTTGAACAGACTTACGCGATCAAATTCTGAAGACAAAGCAGCACCCCCATAAGCTGTTCTCATCATCTCCAACGTTTCGGAACCAGATTTTCTCAGTTTCACGCGGAATTTGATCGTTGCTCGAGATTACTGAATTTTCGATCGTGACAAGACACAAAAATTACAACACACTTTATTGACGGTATTCACTGCTAAAAAGGTAACTTGGTGGCAACGAGAAAGGGTCAAATTGTGTACCTGACATTCCGCATCAAAGGCCCCGTTCAATGGATCCACTCTCCGACAATTCTGATTGGCACCAAAAATAGTCTTATTACTTTTGGAACAGACCATGTATACCTATTGTATGAATTTTTGCATTGTATTTTTTCGGCTGTTATATCTTTAATTGAAAACTTTTGTTTTAGCAAATCTTTGGACTTTTTTTAGCAATTTTTTTATTGTTAACATTAAACATTCGTTCAACCATATAGTATTATTCTATTAAAGTTGATTGAGAGAAACCAATCGTAATAACTGTTTAAATGTTTCGTCCATTGGAACACATTTTATACATTCTATATGCGTTATTTGCAATTAGCAAATTAATTCATTTACATAAACTAACAATTATTTATAATTTTAGTCTTTTGTATAAAAATGAGTTATAGTAAGTAGCAAGGCTATAGAATTTGATCTCTAATTAGTAAATCGATTGACACTAACTATGGTGATGCAATAAAACGAATTCAACCACTCTAATTAGGTCGAACTACTCTTATCCTCGGTGACACGTTGATAGCAAATATACAGCAATTTCCTGTCCTATCTCTTTAGAGTAATCGTCGGTTCAATCTCTTTCGCATTTGTAATGGATCATGATGTTTACAGGAATTTCTTTCCTCACGCGATTTCACGTGCGCGCGCCTTTTCCATTAAAAAACCGCAACGATCTTCGTTCGACTTGCTGATTTACATATTTCCGATACATAGTTCATTACACCGAGACCAGTTAGGTTTTGCATAGAAGAAAGAAACTTAACATTCAGAAAGAAAGAAAGACCTTCCTTAAAATAAAACGAAGAAATAAACTCAATACTTACCAATATTCCGTTTTACTACGTAAATAGTCACCGTCAGGCCACGATAGGTAACAAGCAACTCTTGTTCCATCGGAATATCTGCAATTGATTATCCGTCAATTTCTCAAAGGATATTGAAGCAAATGTGGACCAGCGGTAATATTAACAGAAGACTAAGTTTCTAAATGTATTTATTGATCATATGCATTGATAATACATATGTATACTTTTCTATTCTTGAATATTAATCATTAAAAATTGAAAGTTTTATTCTTTGTAAAGTCCTTTGTAGGAATATAGGAAAAAAGTCTCTTATAGGATCAAACCCGAGAAGAAATACGTTTAGAGAGATGGTTATAAAAAGGAAAACAATGTGAGGGTGGAAGTTATTTCTGGAACATTGACTCTCTCTCTTTCTCTCTCTCTCTCTCTCTCTCTCTCTCTTTCTACGCGATAGAAAGCAGAGTAAAGATATATTTGTAAATATAAATTTTACTTTTTTTTAAATAAAAACTTAATAGAAAAATTTTAATAATCATAAAGATGTTAGATTTATTCATATTATTAATTAATTTCGAAACGCGATTTCAGAACATTGCTTCTGGCTTTAAGTTACGTGCAATTATATTGCATGAGTAACGATATTTAACACAGATTGCAGTTCAATAAATGCATAATTTATTTTTTATTACAAGGTTATTTTTAACTCGTTAAAATTTATGGAAAATTTATTATATAGAAAAGAGATACAGAGAGATAGCTTTGGAAACGTACGAACAGCTTTTATAAGTAGATGGTCAGCTTTAAAGGATAGAATCGGCTTTAGGAACCAGTAAAGCAAATACATAATATGCTTAGAATGAGAATTTCCGAAAGTAGAATGAGAAAATTTCGGTTAGGCATTTTTTGTTAAATGTTACAAATTGAGAGATAGAAACAAAAATGAATTAAAATTATTTTATTACAAATTTTCTTGGATTCTTTAAAATAATACGCTGCTAGAAGAATTTGCAATATATATTGCAAATATATAAAAAATCATAAATAAAGAAAAAAATGTGAGAATTTATAGGCGAGAAAAAAAATTCAGCTCACTGGCTCAGAAAGATAAGAAACTTAAAGCTTTGCCCGGGCTACGAGCGGATTATTGACCAAATATGTAATCTGCAAATTTTACAGTGTTTACTGTTAAGATAAAATATATCAATTTTTTTTAAATATTAAATTTATTATCATTATTAAAACAATTCTATATTCAAATTTTAGTCTCGTACACTTGGTTTCATTATTCCAATTTAGATATTGTCTGATTTAGCAATTTACATTATTTCCTTAAGCGAGAGTATAGCTTCGTTTATTATTTTTTAAATATCAGTGTTTATATCGATGATTTATCTGAAAAATGTGATAACGAAATGTATGAATATAGGTATCGGAACGCACAGTGCACAAAATTACGTGAAATAACCTGTGAAGATAAAACCGTGCAAAACTACAAGCGCTTTATAGCTTGATGCGCATGACATTATATGCGGGTGTACAAGTCGCACAAGCTATGAAACTAAGTCACTGTAATTGAGTCGTTACCTGATAAAAGGATTAGCCAAATCATGTTTTGGCTATAACGCGTTTAACAAAAGCGATAATTTCTGTCATATAGAATAAAGAATAGTTTAAGTACTCTTTTAAAATTTTCTTTACCTACTTCTAACGACAAAAGTATAATGTTGTACACATAATTGTGTATAACGTTACAGTCATACACGTATAATTAATTTGCAGGTTAAAATTATGAATTCTCTTTGAGTTCTTCTCTCACAAAGTTAAGGTATGGAAAAGTTAAATTTCATGGGAATGAACCAAGTAGTATTTGATGTTGACATACAATATACATATATGAAATAAAGTACCAGTAACATAATAATAATTTTATGGTTATTAAATACATACATGTATACTGTCTTTTTTTCTTTCTTATATGGATATAATATTAAGAAAATGTATTAAGAAAATGGTTTTTTTTTATAAGAAAATTTATTGGTATCCAGTAACATTAAAAATTATATGAAAAAATACACAAAATATTACTTTTAACGTTTTTATAGAAACGTTCTATATATTTTTTAAATTACTCTGCATAAGTCCTATACATCTATGTAAACGTGACTAGCATTTTATATTTGCAACGTGATACATTTACTATCACGAAGCCTGCCTAAAACATAGCATTTCTCATTTGCAACGTGATACATTCACGAAACCTGCCTGAAACATAACATTCCACATTTGCAATGTGAAACACATTTACTATCACGAAATGCTTTCAAAGAACACATTTACGTTCTATGGTTTGCTACATTATGAGAAATTATAAAAAAGTAACATATAAAATATACTAGTGCTGCCCAAAATTTGTAATTCTGGGTTTTGGCTTGATGTGTATCGGCGATAAGGAAGGCATTAAGCCGTAAATGTTGACACACTTCAAATCAATACCTAAGATTATAAATCTTGAACAGCAGTGGAATATAAATTATAAGAAATAACGTGAGATACACAACATGAACGTATGGGCGCCGTTATTGGCATATACATTAATTATCATTGCTATGTGAAATTTATTATAGCTTCTGTTATATTTTTATTCCTGTTATATTATTCTTTCTCAATCATGAATATAAATTTATATAAATTTATGTTATTTTAAGATAAGAAATTAAAGTTAGATTGTACATATATATTACGAAATTGATACATACAAAAATTTGCTTAACGATTTTAATTATTATATTTACCTGCGCAATGATGTTGTGGAATATAAGAGGCACGGGGTTGCTAGTGCGGATGAAATGCCCCAGATTAAAATTAAAGTAATCACTGTCCTCTTGCGAGACATATGATGTTTAAGAGGATACATAATGGCCATGTACCTGCAACAAACGGCATAACGATGCTGTTTAATATTCCCCGTCAGATTCAAATAAATTACTGAGATTTATGACGTTTTTTAATCTTGTGTTATCGTCATCTGTTTTGATAAGAATTTTTACAAGTTTTGTCGCATAATAACTTTGGATATTACCACTTATTATCATTGTCCACCATTACAAAAGAAGATTTTAGAAAAGTATTTGTTGTAAAACTTTAGCGATTACAGCGAAAGAAATTTTGAACACAGACAATATTCTTATTTATTTATTTTACTATTTGTACTCTTTTATATTTTAATGTTTTTCTCGTGATTATTCTTTTTCAATGATGTATGATTATTCCTAAAATTATAAATTCTTTATCGCTAATTTCTCTATACATATATATATTTCAGTTCACATTATTTATTATGCATACAATTTATGTGAAGGAATGTATGCTTTAGATAATAGCTGTTTCGCATGTAAGGTAGAAATTCAAAATGTAATGGTATGATGCGAAGCAATTTTACAATAGAAAATGTAGTTGCGTGTAATAAAAGTGTAAATTGCTCTGTTGCGAATTGTACCGATATTTTAGATCGAGGATATTTTTCATATATGCTACACGTAATTTTGTACCTCGTAAAACGTAACTACTTGAGACTGTTGAAGTATATTATCGTATATGCGATGTGATGTAATGCTAATACAATGCAACTTTCATAATCAATATATGAATCTATATTTCTTATTACAAGTACAGCAGACAAAATACGTTATCAATAATCTTTAATAAACATTGGATATATAATTCATATCATTGACATTACATTGACGTATTGAATATATAAAATACAATTTTATTTATACTCTGAGAAATTTTGCATCTAAGAGATGAAATTGACACTTAAATGTGATTACATTAGTAACGTGATATTAATTCTAATTAGAGTTATCACGCAAACAGAATGATGCAATGACATATAATCCATGTATATATTATCGTATGTTTCTCGCAAACATTTACTAAATTACAAACAGGTCCCTAGCTTCGACATTAGCATTATTGCTCTTATAACTCTCGCTATGCATGCTATAATAACAGTTTACCATTGCACGTTTACTAATCAAACAGGACGTAATAATTGAATAACCTTTATCGGTGAACCGGATTAGACGGTATTAGACGGTTATTTTATGATTAAATTTTAATTACTTAAATTCAAATATACATAGAAAATTTAAAAATTAAGTTTGCGAAAAAGGAATTGTTTCTTTTCATTTCTATCCAAGTAAATAAATAAATTAAATTAACAAAAAAAAATCAAAAAATTTGGTCTATTCAATTTTTTCATTAAAATTTTATACTGTTCGAAAATTATTTTAATGGTGTTACTCCATGGATGCGGATTTATTTAGGTGTAACATGCTTCACTAATTAATCGAATACGAGAATACGAGAAGCGAACAAAAAAGTTACATACGAGATAACGTCTGTAAAGTTGTTTGTGACAGAAGTTCATAAATTTAATTTACGTATTTCATAGCAGTCATCGTCGATTTTAGTAACGCAATAAATAACCTACGTTGAAATAGGATCCCGTTTGCCATGCAATAAACTGTTCAGCGAGTTTCCACGAGAAAGCTAAACTTGACAATTACTTCCACGCTTTATGTTCTTCTGAGCTCGGGAAAAGCTAGAAATGTACAAATCTACAATAGAATTTCTCGCGTTAAGTTCTTGTGCCGACGTAGTATGTAGTCAAAGAAACGAGATCATCCCTATTCTTTTTGGTTAAGATTACGAAGATGTTGCAAATTGGCTCTTAATTTCTAATAAGAAATGCCATCGAATATTTGAGAGTAGTATAATCGAATAGCTTCCCTCTTGTGCTTATTAATCAATGTATACACTTGTATCGAATAATCAAAATTTTGTGTCCTATGCCAACGTAGCAGTGGCGGATCCAGAGAGTTGTTCTGGGAGGGGGGGGGGGATGACAAAATTAAATATTAAGTAAATATTTAGTTATTATTGTTGTTATTATTATTTTTAATATTTTTTATTATTTAAAAAAAATTGAGCGAACATTACTTAGTCTCGTATAATTTCTGATAATTTGTTTTCTCAATTTATTTTAAACCGACTTTTTCCAATATCCGAAATTTGTTTGGAGAGCTCTGGAAGGGAGGCGATCGCCCTCTCCGCCTCCCCCCCCCCCTTCTAGGTATCCGTCACTGCGATGTAGTGTATAATCAAAAAACCGAGATCATCTCTATTTATCTTGATTAAGTTTACGAAGATGTTACAAATTGGCTCTTAATTTCTAATATAAAGAAATACTACTGAATATTTCAGAGCAAGATAATTTGTCGTGTGTACATGTCGAATAATTCGCCTCTTGTGCCTATTAATTAATATACACGTGTGCTAATAATCACAACTTTGTGTCCTGTGCCAACGTAATGAATAATCAAAGCAACGAAATTATCTCTATTTATCTTGATTAATTACGAAAACGTTGTAAATTAGCTCTTGATTTTTATTAATCAATTTGCACGTGTGCTAATAATCCAAACTTTGAAACCTTAATACTTTGCTACCATTTCGAGAAATTTCTCCGTTTAATGTCGTCATTAGAGAAACGACGAAAATTCCCATAAAGAAATAATTCAATCAAACGATGAAATTTCTCACGTCGTATTTATCACTAATACGTATACAGGTATCACTAATACGTATTATCACTAATACTTGACTGATAATACCGACGATAATACTAATCAGCATTTCAAAATCAGCTTAATAAATATACAATTAAAAACAAATTTATTTTCTTAATTTATAAATAATATTTAATATTTAATGGAAAATTAGCGCTGTTATCAAAATATTTAGTAATCAAATCAAAGCAAGGTGCAACAACTGTCAATCAATAATTAAATTTTAGCCAAAAATTCATCCCGAAAACCCATTTCTATTGTGATTTTTATGCTTTTTTGACCACGCAGAAATACAGATAAATGCAACCACCATGTATTGTATGCTGGAACAACAAATGACACAGAAAAATGGTTGCATTGTTTTCTACGTGAGATTTTGCATAGGCAGGTACTATCGCGTGGGGTATTTCAGTAAAGTCGCCGAAACCGTAACGACATTTCGTGTCACGAGAATCCGTAGTATTCTGCACGTGCTGTGAAGAATTACAACCTGAAACCAGGTTGCAAATAGCTGTACCGGTAAGCTGTCTCTGAAAACATATTAAGTCATTTATATCGTGGTAGGTTGAAATGCTAATACGCGAGCACGTGTAGACGCAAAATTTGCATATAAATCTTTACATCAAAGATAACTCAATATTTTCACTTGCTACTCTTTTTAGTATTATTTTATACAAGTAAATTTAACTGCTAAAATCAACTTCAAGTTATAAATTTAATAAATTTTGTTTGTACATTTATCGAGCAACTTAGGTATACGTTCATTTTATATACATATGTTTTCAACTTCAACGAAAACGTTTTAACGAAATGATTCACGAAAAGGTATCTATCATTTTTATCTTGAATCGTAATTGAGTTAGTACATTGCATTACGAAGAGAAACGTCTTTGTCACAAGAGACACTCTTGAAGTATCGAGCAAAGAAAAAACCAAATAGTATTAACTAAAGAGTGAAATCTAAGGGTGTTTCTTCAAAGTAGCAATAAAGAATCGATAATGCACTTTTCACGTACACATTGCCATTTTATTATTTTGCAATAATTAAAATTCAATGCTTTCCACATTAGAAATTATCTCTTATTGAATTGTTTACGGGTCAACTAAGTGTATCGGGCCACACACGTGTGATGCATTAGCATGGCACAAAGAGATAAAAGCTGCAAAGTAGTGTCTAATGAATGTTTAATGGATAACAAATCTAATTTCCGCTACATCGACAGTCTAACCCTTGCATGAACAACCCGCGGTACGTGAGAAGCATAGCTACCCAAAACTGTTCGAACTTCGATTTCTCTTCCATCGATCAGTACGTGAAAAGCATTGCAATAAGAAAATGTGCCGGAACTTGTTTAATGTTCGAAGATGTTTGAGATAATCTGTTTTCATTCAGCTATATCTCGGTCATTGTAAGCTTAACATTTCCCAAGCTCTCGTCTTTCCTCTTCGTCGTTCTCTAAATAATCTTCAATACGCATTGCGGATACTGAATTGGTATACTATATATATATTGGTTAAAATCGATTGCGTTCTCACCTATAAGAGTGACTGATTTTCTGCTGGTAAAATAATATAACATAAAAAGTAGCAAAACGCAAAATATTGCAATGCAAAATCGATAACTGATTATTTTCAAAACCGAGAATTGGATATTTTATAGCTCTATCGGCAAAATCATTGGAAAAATTGAATTATTGGCTGTTGGCGTTGATTGATCGTTAAATCACTTTTATGTTTAATGAGCTGTTATTAATTGATGGATCGCCAATTCGGATCGAAAATTCGTTAACGAAAATTTGTGGAATACTGTTAAACTTGACTATTATAGTTATGACTTCGATATTACAACCTTTTACGTCATCTCGACGTAACATATAATCTACGATGTATGCACTAGATTTATAATTCAATATTGATTAAACATTCGCGTTTTAATTTCACTGATGAAATCATAACGAAAGATTACCAAACGAATCTAAACTGTATTTTAATTCAGTAATCAGTATAAAGTTCATTTTATGTGCAAACAATTTTAAATTTCTAATAAACTCAACTAAATTAATTAGTTTTTATGCAAGAAGAGAACTGATAATTCAAACCATTATTCTATTTCTCTTAATTACTTTATAGAGTCTGAGAATAATATTTTTTACGTTATGTTAAGCATAAAAAATTGAATAAATTGGAAGCTAAAAAAAGAACTACAGTTTCTTATAAACATATTTAAGTCAACCCAATTACAGTACATTTTCTCCGGTTTCCATTTATTTGACAATTTGAGTGATTGTTAATTACTATAATCTCTCTGATAACAGCCACTTCAAAAGCCAGTCCTGATCCTCCTACATCAATTAGCGTTCATTATATTCACCCCCTTACCCATTTCTATTCCTAAAGTTCTATATAACTTCGGCCTCCAATTTCCAGCGCGCAGTTAATTTACCGTAAAATAATTTAAGTATGGAACTTTAAAATCCTTTTTTTGTCGTTACGTCTTGCCACAAGTCAACAACAACGCTGAAAAAATATACACGTATACAATTATTCCGTTAAACCCGGTTAACACTTCAAAAATTTAATAACTTTATTTGATGATAACTGATGATCGTTCTTACATTTTATATATTTACAATAAGATCTCTGTATGTTAAAGAATAAATTGAATAAATTAATTGTAACTTTTTAAAATATATGTTATAATTATATAAAATTAAAAACATATGTATAATAATTTAAAACCATTGAATATATTTAAAATTTTATTAATAAATCTTTGTAAATTTAGAACATTAATAGCACAGTTGTGTGATGCGCTAATTATTGAATTCAGAGAATATATGCTGACAAATTCCCGTACACGTGTTCCAAGAAGTTGCTCGTTATATCGAGTAAATCAAATGTGATATTCAACTCTTGTTACAATTTGACTTTCTTCTTAATGACCATTAATCTTGATGGCCAAAATTTATAGATGAGATATATAGTAAAAAAAACTTTAACTTTGGTACGGCCATTAAAATTAAGAATTTAAAACTTTTTGAGAAGTTTAAAAAACTTTACATTATTTAAAAAGTTTTACTTTAGGCCTATAGCATAGGATTTTTAAGGAATTTATTATATAATTTTCTGGTAAGTTATTTTTTGGTAGAAGAGCAAGATAGTTTGGTGAAATTTTTGCATTTTATGGCATTTTTAATTTGAAGTTTCTATTTTTAAACTATGTTTAACCTATACTGCATAAATTTAAATGACTATTTTTGTGTCATAAAAAGATAGTTGCGCATAAAAGTTTTTTTCGTGCTTAATTTAATGAAATAAAGTTGAACTAATTTGTAAAATATCAACGTTTACATAATTATGAGAAAATAATCACTTGTTTACAATCAATATATATTCTAAATTATTTCTTATTAAATTTTTAAATACGAAAACAAATCAAATTTGCAGTAAATAAATTATTGTCCTAATATAAAGCAAATTAAAGCAAGATTAATATGAAAATAATGGGGATAACCTTTTTCTTTTATGAATGTGAAAGAGACCGATTTGGATAACAATCTGTGGCCTTCGGGTTAACTGCGTTGATAGCCGAGAAAATAGTGGAATGACCGAAGAGCATGAATTTGTACCTTATCTATTCTGTATTCCCGATTTCGAGGGTCATATCAATAATTTCATACGGAAAGAAAAGAGTAAATCTGCTTTATATGTTAAATATTTCGTACTTGGTTTAGTTTTTGCACTATTACATAAACTATTATAGTAATATATTGGTATAATAATAACGCAGAGAGAGAAAGAATGTAGAAATTTTTCGTTTTCCTTGAAATTTTCTATTTTTAATTTACAGAAATCTCTCTTGTTTGCTCTTTTATGAAAAAAATTTTTTAATTAAATTCAATAATTTTGGTAATTTATTTATTCTTGATACAAAATATTTTAATAATTAAAATATTAAACTGAAAATACTATTCAACAAATATTTTCTTTACATTGTTGTTTCTTTAAATTGTAATATTTATTAATTGCTGTATTATATTATGTATGTCTTATATTACTACGAAAAAAGACCAATATTAAAAAACAGATAATGTAATTTATATTGTATGTAAAGAGCATTCTTTGTTTTATATTTTATGTATTAAATTAGTGCAGCATCTGTTTAATAGCTTTTATTTGGAATCTTTTCCATGTTTTTACTTGAATCGATACTGGTAGTGTACAGGTGTAACATTTTTATTAATGAGACCGGTGCGGTGCTGTTAATTCATTTGATTGCACCGAAGGTAAGCTCTATTTATTGCACACTGTAGACATTGATTAATAATGCTGAGTACTGTTCTATATTGTTGCGTGTTAGTATCGTATATCTACATGTGTAACTTGACTTTACATACCCTAACGTGTACAATTCCCAAATGTGTTGTTTTCTTTATGCAAATTATCATACAGACATATCAAGTTGCTGTTTGCATAAAGTTGTACATAACCAGAAATTGCAAAGTACATGTAATGCATATTTTCTGAGCACATTAATGTTACGCATTTCAATTCAATTTAAAAAATATTACGAATGAATAACTATGTGCTTATATACTTTATATGAAAATCATTTTAAAGTATACATAAAATCTTTTAATTCGGTATAATTTTTTAGTTTAGATAGTTCTTTCCATTTTTTTGGTCCGAAATTAACATTTTAATTTAATCATTAATGAATTGTTTAATGAATAACATTCATGAAAAGCAAAGTGCGTGTCAATATTATTATAAATTAACAGTTATCCGTATAAGATATCTTGAAAGCAAATCGATAAATTGGTTTTAGCAACCTTGAAACTTTAGGGGATTAATCATTACGCGTGCGCAAACAAGCTTTCCAGAGTCTTTAGAATTTAATACTTTGATATCCAAGGATAATATTATAAAAAATACAGGAGAGACGCGTCTTGTGGAACTATTTGGAATGGATTCCGATCGAAATTGCTGTAGATATCTATTGTGTTTTTTATGAGAAACGAAATAATTCCGATCGGAATTCATTCCGAACAGTTCCATAATGCTTAGTATAAGAAGCATAATAGATATGATGAAAAATGTCAATAAAATTCAAAATTACGTATATGAAAGAAGATATTAACTACATATACTATTATATATTCTTAAAGAAAAATGTAAAATAAAAAAAATATTGTAAAATATAACAATAAGATATGATTTAAATATCGAATAGGTGGAGTACGTAAGCAAACACGTGAAAGAATATTCTTACATGAGTGAGTGAGTGAGAGAAAGAGAGAGAAAGAGAGAGAGAGATGTCATTGAATTTCTCACGTTCGTTATATAACATACTTGTGTACTTATATGATTTAAAAAAAAATTACATTTAACAAAAACTTAATAGCCGTAGGTGTGTATAAGATATTACGTGTAAGATATTTTTTATTTTGTGCTATACTTTTATGACGGTAATATTTATGTCGTGAATAAAATATTGTAAGGCGGTTATAAAAATTTTAAGAAGACATTTTTATTACATAGGTTTTATTTAATGTTGTATAAAATAGAATCAACTCCCCCATATGCGTATATTGAAGGTGTATAAAGGAAATCAAACGTTTTAGACTCTATTGAAAAAGGGAAGAATGGAGGAACGAAATAATAGAAGTAAAACGGTATATAAGATAAAAAACAATACGAGAAAAAGAAAAGGAATGGTCGATCTATTGGAATGTATTATAGTACATTTATACACTTTACTCTCCTGCTGAATAAATGTGTGAAATGGTACGATCCAGTACGTTCGACTATCTCTACCAGAGATTGCACTCGGTATCGATTGCATACAAATGATACCAAAGTCAAATGGCCACGTTCTGCTAGCATTTCCTTCGCGGCTTACGTGCAGCGATTTCGACGCGATGGCAGCTTTTTCCTCCGCGTGTGTCACCATTAAAAAGGATCTATGGAACCAAGTGTTCGTGTGTCTCCATTTTCTAGACGTATCTCAGGATTAGTCGCGTAAACCCGCGCATGTCGACGCGGGGAACGATTGTTTTATCCCATATAAAATAAATTGAAGAGGACGAAAACTAAACCGCAAATCTGTTGTGAAGAAATATAAATTATACCTTTGAAAAGAATGGGAAAGTAACTTAACATATAGATGGATATACAGATTAAATATACAGATACACGTTCATTATATATTGAACCTGTTGATTGTGTGCATAAATTGGAATCAATCATAAATGTCTATAAAGTGTAATCAATCAATCATCTGTATGACGTGTAACTCTTACTTTTTATAATTTATTGTTATTATTTTTATATATGGTTACATAATTTATCTTTCTGATAACCAACAAAGAATATTTTCTCCAACCAAGTAAAGAAACAATATCAAACAAAATTTCAAATTAAGCAAATCATCTATCTTTAAAAATTTAAGAAGTGCAACGAATAATTTTTCTCTGTATATTTAAAAATTTTTTGTAATAAATTATACAATAGTTTCAGATAACTGATATGAGAAATAACATTGTGTGAGAAAATATATGTATAAAAAGACAGAGACAGAGCCAGAGAGAGAGAGAGAGAGAGAGAGAGAGATATGTGTAAAGAAATTTCAAATAAAATTTCTAATGAAAACTTACCTGTCAAATGAAATTACGACGAGAGTAAAAACGCTGGAAGCGACAGTCACGTGTGCTACGAAGTTGTTGATGGTGCAATACACCATTCCGAAGGGCCAATTAGAGTTAAGGAGGAAGATAAAGTTGAAGGCGCAGTTGAGCAATGACATCATAAGATCCGCAACGGAAAGATTTACCAAGAAGTAATTAGTTACGGTACGCATTCGCCGATGAGCTGAAACAAGCGAAAAAGAGGGAAAGCCTATAAAAATCATGTTAATGTTTTTATGATACTCCTGTTAATGCACATGTTTTAATGCCCGTTTCTAAACTATTTTTTTCTATTTTCGACTTACAAATTGCAAACTTTCCGCAGAGGTATTACTGTGACTTTTACTGTTACTTGAGTAGCTGCGACTGGCAGTAAATTTTTCCGCGCACGTTTCCAGCTTGCCTCCGTCGATATTAAAATTCTAAACATCTATCGTTGTAAGAAATTTGTTCACGTAGGTATCTTTAAAAATGAAACATCTGTACCCGTTACTCCTTTCTTTCCGTCTTTCTGCTATTTATTTTGCAAACGTTGTCATGAAGAAAGAATGAAAAGCATTTAAATTAACACATTGAATGCGGAAAACCAAAGCTTACTTTTATTACCGAGATGATATTTATATATTGAACATAATTATACTTCTTTGTTCTGAGCAATTATGTTCCTCTCATTTGGTATAATCCTATTCTTGACTAATTTTTCATGGAAGATTCTTGAAAGTTATTCTGTTTTAAATACATTTTAATTTTAACTATATTAAAATACAATCTTTTAATTACATTTTGCATTTTACTTTGCTGATGTTAATAGTACTTTTTTTAAATTAAACTTTATTGCATGAAATATTATATTATCATAATATTTATATAAAATCTAGATTTTTATGATTTTATATGTAACGACGTATTGCATATGAAATAAGAAATACTTTTAACGCAACAATATTTCTCCTCTTTTCACTTAGAATCTAAATAATACATTGTGTTTTAGCGAAAATTGTTATTACGCTTATCCATTAACGATATTTTGCAGTGCATAATATTGATAATATTGATATAGGCAGGCATATATATTAAATATTCATTAAGAGTACTGAATTTCTTATTAAGAAAAAAAATAACGCAAAATTTTTCGCATTATTTGTTTTTTATGGTAATTCAATATCTTTTACGAAGGATATTAATGGGCTCGAAACTTTATCAAATAGTATGTTGCGAGTTTAAGAAGTTAAGAAAACTGGTGTCGTAAAAAGACTAAAACTGTAATATGTTTTAGTAACGTACATAGCGACTAAGATTTAGATGTGAAATTTGAAGTCAGAAATTAGAAATTAATTTGATATCTTTCAAAAATATATATTCTTTAACATTCAGATAAGAAAATTGAAATGTATTAACGTACCATGTTTTTTAAATTGCTTTAAAAAAGATTAATTAATAAAATTTGTATATGAAACATGTAAAAACTTTTCTCTTTTCGCGTGTAGACTTTATATTTACGCACACAAGTATATAAAAACAAAATATTCTCTCTCTGCAAATTTAATAAATATTTCTAATTTGTATTTAAAATTATTTTTCTTTGTATAAATATTTTGTTATTTGCAAGTTTACAGTTCTAGTGTTTACGAAAGTTGAAAGGGATTCATTACACTACCTCGATAAATGAATTAATTTGTGCTATTGATATATTGTCGAAAAGAAATCTTCACAGTACCTACATATCAAGTTAGATTTGTAAAATACAGTTTATCTTTGTCAAACGTGAACTTGATTTACGATGTCTGTTGCTGCTCTGCAATTCAGATAACAGTCCGTGAGCACAATTCGACTGATAAGCTTTTTCTACGTATGTATGATGTTAACTTTCATATCATTTATCATTTGAGTAATTTTTCATCATGCAAATTACCTTCTGTTACAATGTGATAAAAATTATTTGTCTATTATTTAATTATTACATTAATTGACCAAATACAATTTTCTTTATTTAATTTGAGAATTCAAATAATATCACAAAGGAAGGATCTTGTTATATAACATTAATTTAATTTAACTTATATACGTTTTTCTTTGATAAAAGAGTAAATAATATTCTTGTATAAGTTCGATGATACTTGAGAACGCATCATCGCATATAACGAGTGCGTTATTATATCTGCTTCTAATTGAAATAAATTAATTTCATTTCTAAAAACGTTTAAAATCGATATTTGATAGCTGTTATCGTATTTATGATATAATTCCACTAGTAGTACGCTGTATATTTTTTGTATAGAAAATTTAGAACTTGATATTTATTAAAAAATCAAACATTTTATTCTTTAACTAAGTATATAATAGATTAAAAAAATAATCAAAATGATCTAAAATTAGAATTTTGAAAACTAATTCTAAATGATGAATCGTTTAAAAATAGATTCGATGTTATATAGATATAAAATGTATCACCAAATGTATCGATTATCTTTTATATTTTGTAGTGAGATTTTCACAAATAACGGTATAACTGTTTTTGAAGTTTAATTTAAATTTCGTCAACTGTTGACAGTAGTCTGCATCAATGGTATAATTGTAAAACAAAAAATATTTTATTTTATAATTTACAACAAATACAATTTATTTTTTAAACAAACACATATTCAACTCTATATGTGGCCATACAAAAAACATTAACTAAAGAGCACATTTTCTTACTTGTTAGTTTACGTACTGTAAGATTTCCAAGTCATTAAATTTTGCGAAAGCCATAATTGAGTTTATGATACACATCTTTCATAAACATAAATTATACTACTGATTTTACAACGTGATATATTTTAAGTGCAACCGCAAAAAATAGAAGGGAAACATAAGACTAATGCGTAATACATTTTCATATGTACATAAGTATAATTATATTGCGATCGATGTGAAAATCGTACATGTCGTAAAGGCAAATCATACACAAATTATACAAAGTAGAAAATTCTTTTTTATATAAATAGTTATTTTTAATTATAAAATTAATCTTCAATAATTCCAAATTTACAATTTTCAAAATAAGTTAGTTACAAGAATATGGAAGTAGAGATGGTTTTTTTTCAATTCAATTCTGGCAGTAAAAGTATATTATATTTGAAATTTATGTATACCAAATCACCAGAGAATTATTTTAATTGGAATTGTAGAACAATCAGATTGCGCGTAATCTTTCAAAATACTTATCGTGTAACATATTTTCTGAGACGCGCGATACTCATTTGTGGCGATGGTGGTACGAAAGTTCCGCGTCGGCTTTCTGTGCTAAAGACCCAGGTCCAAACTTTGACTATATAAGTATGAACTGATAGTAATTAACTTCATACGTGTCGCCATTAATCGATTTGGAAGCGATCGTCAATTCTCGGAAGGCAAAAGCAAATCACCAAGAGTAACTCTGCCCAGGAAAGTCTCTTCTAATAAGCCGTTCGAATTAAAATTATTTTAAATTAAAATATCAAGTATCAATCTAAATAATTTATTGATTAAATTTAACCACTTTAATTCAAACGATTAATTATTTAGATTGATACTTGATATTTTAACTTCTTCGTACGCCACACACACTTGTCAGCGTGTAGGCGATCTCTTTTGCATACATCCGCAGATATATGTTAGAGATATATTATTCTGAGTGGATTTGGACCTAGGTTTTTGGCACAGAAAGCCGACGCTCAGCTCTCGCGCCACGATCGCCGCAAAAAAAATATTGCGCGTCTCAGAAAATATATTAAGATATACGATATGCTCCATTTTGAGAAATGATCATCAATATTAAAATTAAGGTGTAATAATATGTCATAAACGTGACTTCTTAAGAGAATATACATAATATATGTATATTATTCTTCAGTTGTCGTATTTAAATATCAAAAGCCACGATGTAAATATAACTGAACTTGGAATAGAAAAATTTCGAGATAATAATTGGAAATAATTATTATTAATTTCTATAATAATATATGATGTATATGTGTGTATATACGCACACGCACGTACACACAACATATAAAAACATATACCGATATGTAATACATATACATAGAGAAATATTGGAAATTCAAATTGTTGACATTCAGAGTTTCCGCTTCTGAAATTCTTCGCGAAGTTGATCTTTTATAAAGCTCGATACGAAGTTATTATTTGGAATCAACAGCTTAAATTAAAAAAAACAAGATATTTTTGCTTTCTTAAAAGTTGTTAATTTATACATAAAACTTTGTTGACTCTAAAATCACTTGAAATATATACGTACAACAAAATAATATATAATTATTTAAAAGAATATAATGCTTAAGAAAATTTATAAATTAAAATTATTACAATAAATAAATAAAGTAAAATATTCTCTCGGGAAAAGGTTAAAATTTTTGATATTCTTTTCAGAACTGAAATTCCTCTTTTAGTATATTTTTTATCTATACGAGAAAAATGCAAAGAAACATGAAATTTTTTTTCCGTTAAATATTTCCTTTTAATTTTATTTATGCATTAGATATTCTAATGCATAAATTAATAATATTATTAACTCAAAGAAAAGAAAAGTATATAAATATTAAATATAAAAACTTTTTTTAAAGAGAAGTTACAGAAATAAAATATTTAATTTTTTTAATGTCTTGCAACTATATAAAAAAATTAATAAAATATTAACAATAAAGATTTTATTGGTATATATTATATACTCGAATTGTGTACCGTGCTAAATGTGTATTATGACAATTTAAAATACTGCATTTATAAAAAATTTTCATTACGGATGAAGTATTTAAAAAAGCTTTAATTACATCCTATCAATTTACTAAAAATTAAATAAGATCTCACGAAAAATCTTTACAAGAGGTAGCATATAATAACTTCGATATACAGACTTCTCGATTTACGCTATTAGCAAACAATGAAAATCGACCGCTTATAAACGTAAGCGGATTGGAAGACTATCCATGCAGAAACTTCAATGCAGTGGAAATTTAGGCTATGACGATTTATGGATTAACGATAATTGCACTAAAAGTTTGAAATTCGTCAAATAACATCAGATTTCTAGAAATTAATAAAATTTATCTTTTATCCTTTTTATTATTGTTAAACTTATTGTTCAAATTCTTTTTAAATTGTTGAATTATTATATTCTACCCTAAAGTTGCCTCATAATATTTTCGCAATATTTTCAATTTTAATTTAATAACTTAATGCGATTTCTTAAAAGATTTATATTAATTTAAAATACATGTACATGGGTATTAATAATAGTATTAATAATAAGAAATAAAGTAAATTACTATTTACGCTACGAATATTTGTACAACATTAAAAATAGTCTTAATAAAATATAATTTAATTTTATTACATTTTAATTTAAATATTGAAGATGGCAGTGATTTCTATATGTGTCTATACTACAAATCGCTCGGTTTATGGAAAATGTTGGGATATGAAGGCAAATACAATTTAATATAAAGACAGGGTGAAAGGAGAAAAACAACGGTAAAAAAGTAGCAGCTGTAGTCAAACTGCCTTGCCTCGAAATTCCTAGTATCGAAAGGAAAAATAAGAAAGTTGAAATTGCTAATTACAAAAAGTGGATTACTAGCTGAAGTAAAACAAAACCACAACGTACATCATGTAAATTAAATCATACCTAATAGAACTTGTTAAATACCTTTTTGAAACAATGATTGTTTTTTCCAATCTCTAATTTTGCTTAATTATTAATTTTACTAGGCAATATAAAAAATAATGTTGCAAGTAAATTTTAAGAACGCACTTTTATAAAATGTTACAACATTTTTATATTATATTTCACAATATTGTTTATACGTTTATAAACGTCAATACATATTTTTATTGCGTGTACGTGTAACAAGAAGAAAAGAATATTTTTTAAAAATGTTTCTTATTTTCTCGTGAAAAAAACGTAAAATTGAACGGAGAGAACGTGGATCATGTGTAGTTTATGGATATGCTTTAAAATGTTTTATGTATCAAAAATATCATAATATTCACAACACAATGCTTGTATAATACGTCAACCACATGTTGCAATTTCATATTGAAAAATACTGGATCAGCTACCTTTTATCAGTTGAGTGCTTCCTTCCATTTTTCTTTACCGCTAGAAAGTTTATATAATATTTATTATTTCGCGCCCGTTTTGAAAGTATAACAACCGCTGAATGCTGAAGTTTAAAGTACTGCGGTAATTTACTTTTTTTGAAATGCTCAGAATAGTTAAACGATCGTAAGTAGCATAATTAAGCGTCTTCTCCGTCTAAAACCATAAGTACATACAGAAACGTTAATTAAGTTCTTCTGCACAACTCACGTACTCCGGTAGTATAATATTAAGTATTACAATATATGACATTGTAGTCATAGAGGTATTTAATCGAAGTGATAATTATTACAACAAAAGCTCTTACATTTCGAAAATGTTCGTTTTGATGTATAATACATCAAACAAAATATGTATATTCGATATATTCGGTTTGTAATTAATTCTCATAATGCAGTAGCAGAGCAATTGTCGTCATTCTGTTGCCCTGTGACATTGGCTATTTCAAAATACTAACGAATATATTATTTGCTCGTTTCAATAAAATTATTACATTATTACAAATGCATTTTTAATAAATGGGCTTGGTGATTTACTTAATTTTTTGTATCATCCTCATTATCATAACAATGGTTTAGCTGTGTCCACCCAGGCGGCAAACTGCAAGCTATACGTTTATGCTAATTCCCACTGTCCAGCGCAGACGCGCTCTCATGTCATTCACCAAGCATATCTCTCCAAGATAGGAATCTTGTGTAATCAGCTCATTAACCTTTCTCTTTGAGAACGCATGCGATTAAACAAATGTGACTACGATTCGACGCAGTGAACATCGTGTACATATCCATATGGCTAAAATATTACTATATGTTAGCATCATGGAGAAGTTCTTCATTTTAACGCAATTTTTTAATGTTGATGTTGACCCATATTGGCCATACGCAAATATTTCAAATTTTACTCTCAGCCTTTCAAGTAATGATAATATTTACCTTTATGTCTGAGTAAAAATAATATTCAATCTTCTTTTAGCATATATTTTTTGCATGAATTTATGAGAAATTATGTTATAATAAATAGCAGTTAATTATTTATATGTTTTAAATGAAATTAACTTCTCCTAACAGCTGTCTTTTGCAAACGTATTAATTTATTTGTTAATTAACGGAACAATTTGTACTAGAATGTACGATACATTTTGAAATAATATCAAGATAATTGTATTAACAGTTGTTTCATAGTTAGTAGCATCAAATTTCCGTAGGTATATGTCATGCGTTTTCGAAGCTTTCTATTATACATTCACGTAAGTGCATGAAATGTTGCTTTAGAGAGATTAAGCTTCACTTGTACTGAATACCGCTAGAAGATCCGCCAAAATTTCAAGCACGCACGTTTCTCGTACGCAAAATAACATATAAACATTATTCCACAAAATGTGTTTTCTTTCTGAATTATTTCAGAATATTGTCAAAATTAGCTCTTTTAGATATGACGTATATTTCGATAAAGTAATTCGATTAGTAATATAATTTCAACTATGCTCTTGACAAGAATGATAATTGTATCAGTAGCATTAAATTATTTTAATGCCTAAATTATTTTAAATCTTTAAACATCACAATATTAGTATGTATAAATGTACAGAATTATCAATATATTATTATTATGCGTAACTAAAAATAATATTGATATGGCGACAGTGAGTAAATAATTTTTGCTTTAAATAAATTATAAATGCAATACTTATCATACTAAATGTATTTATATATGAACGTTATTAATATTATTAAAATTTATATAATATTTTAGCGATTATCAGTTTTATTGACATTTTTTGAAGCGCATTCGTTACTATTACTATGAAACTTACTTCTTATTTTACTCATTTTAATTATTAAATTTTTTCTTAGTTTTGACATATGTCAAATAATTTATTATTTTAACTTCTAATAGTTGAAGATTTCTTCATATTTTTAAGATAAAAAAAACAAGTCACAGTTAAATCACAGAAGTCAAGGCAATGTTGGTAAAGCCGGTCACAATTTTCAATTTCCATAAACGTGAGAGCTAATGGATAATTAAATCTTAATTGACGTAGTACATGTATTTCAAAGCTTAACGTTGCAACTATCATGAGTAATATAGTTTCTATTTGCAATCGTCAAATTTACTTACTGATCGAATAAGCTTCATTTAATATTGTATTATTCGTGGGCAGATCAATACAAAATTATACTTGGCACTCTATATAAATATCAATAAAATATCAATAATTATACACTTTTTGAAATTATATATTAATTGTTTTTGACATGAGTTGTTTATACAGATGAGATTAAATAAAAGAATAAATTTTGTCCGCAATACAAGTGGAATAATCTGCTCTTTATCAAGATACAGCTTGATGTGCAAGAGAATTGCGTTCTATCCATTCCTTTCGAGAGCTCTTCTGTTTCAACGATCGTTCTACTTGTAGCAAATTGAGCGCGAAGTCGAGTTTGAGGTAACCCGATAGCGGGTGTAAATTTACGAACGCAAGAGCTTACGAAAATGACATTTGTAAAATAAAATATTAATTGCTTCAGATATTCTCGTAAGCACAAATAATCGTATTTCAATTCTATATTGGTCTACTCAGCGCTACGTTGAAATTGCAGCTTATGCTGAAATTGAAGATAAATTACATTAGTTTTAAAAGAAAATAAAAATTAATTAAATATCGTAATCTGAACAAAAATAAAATTGTTCGAATAATGCAGTTTAATTATATCACTATTTTGAACTGTAATATTTTGAGCTTTTATTCCTACATAGAATACTTCACTATAAGTGCATTAAGCGAATGCAATTGTGTGTAATTGTATTAATAGATATGACGTTATAACGCATACCGTGCGTACTGCTAAATTAATTCACATTTAACACACATACATTTGGTAATTAGAAATGCCCTTTTCATGGGGAAAACTAGGTATAAATTCATATTTAGTGCTCATACATATTTTTTGGATTTGTGCTGTAAAGAAAAAAATGATTTTAATATGTATATATAATGTATAGTATTTACAATCTGTTCTTACGAAATGTTTAACTTGTGTATAAAAATATGTATGAAAGATATAAATTTTCCCGCAAATTCGTTAAACTATAAACAAAAGGTATTCGTATTTTTTGGTGAAATTTATTAAAGATTACGTTATATTTTTCACGACGACAAAAGTTTATCGTATTTTTCATATTTTTTTTTATTATTGTAACGTATTATTTTTGCTTTTATCGTCATTACGCTTTCGTTTATGCAAATTTTTGTAATGTTTGGATGAATTATTTGTTTTAGTATTTGTCGATGCAGAGGATTTTTAATTTTCGCAGATTTATACTTACCTGCATCGAACTAAATAAAATTGTATATCAAGCCGCGCCTCGTAACATCCGTGCATCAAACTAAATAAAATTGTATAGCCGCGACGAAGTAACATTCGTGTTCGTCGAGTACTTTTTTCGTGAAACTTTGATGTGTCACTTAAAGGATAAAGTTTCATTAACTCGATGTCTCCGTAGTCGCTTTCCACAACACAGGATTAAATCAGAAAGCACAGCTTTCTGGTTTCTACTATTAAATTAGGACTTAAAAAAGTTATTCTTACTTATATGGAATGTTATAGAAAAATATGTTACATTTAGATTACTTAGGAATTGTTTAGAAAAATGACTTTAGATTAAATATTAATTTTTAATTTATGTGTAAATATGAAAACAGTAAAATTACATATTTTATAAAATTTGTGGCGTTTGAACGCATAATACAGTTTGGATAAATATATAAGCATACACACGAACTTTCAAAAATACGCATTAATTTACAATAATAATTTATGGAAGTAAATAGCATAAATAAAATTTACAAACAATAATAAGACACATATTTTGACTAATTTTATGCCTTCTAAATGAATTCGTAATTGTATCTTTTGATAACACAAAATGTTCCAAAATAATATCGAACAGTGCTAATTTTTGTCGACAAAATAGAATTTTCGTGCTGCTCTTTCTCTCGATTATAATTATCTCGGTAATACAATGTACACCTTAATATAGCATATGTTTGAAATTAATATAACGCTACGTCAGAGAGAAAACATATTCTCTACTTAAAATTCGTATCACTCGAGGGAGATCAAAACGTGTGCATGTGAAAGAATTATCAGTATATATATATATATATGGAATATTATCTCCGAAAACACCAGATATGACGAATATATCCGGTTTTATACATGTTCCCCGTGTCTTCGATGAGGGTCTGCATCTATAAATTACAAGAGTTTCGTTGCAAGAACCAATAGCGAAATGAATTTCAATCCAATCTCCCTGGGGTACTTTAAAAATTTCTGACGTCTAGCTGAGAATATATATACATATATGAGAGATTCACGCGTACAGGAATGCATATTTCAGGTATTGCTTGCAGGTATAATCGATCTGTAAACAAAACTCTGAGCGAATGCATCAGAAACAAAGAAGCAACGTATATTGTAATAATTTGCAAGACATGATTTGTGTGTTAGTAGCATTGAATACCTACCTTCCTTTTAATAGAGACAAATTACGCGCGTCACGCAGAGCTTTATAAATGGTTTTATAATTTTTTAATTAGATTTTAACTGAAATCCGATTAAAGAGATCTGACAAGGAGAACATTTTTTGCTAATAAAATAACTGAAATATTTAATAAGAAATACTAAAATATTTAATAAGAATTAAATATAATAGAGAAAATTATACAAAAAAGTAAAATAATACATTAACAAATTAAAAATTTTTTTTAACAATTTTGCCCGACAAATTTTATTTATATATTAAACGTTTCTTTTAAAAAATTTTGTTTAAACAAGCAAATCGCAGCGCAGCATCATATGTTACATCGTATGCTAGTAACATGCATGCATAATGCAGTGGCTTTACAATACATGTCATATATTTAGGAAAAGGCAAAAGTTCAGCGATTCTGTTAGCGGCAGAAAGCCGTTTGTGAACGTACAGGGAGGATCGTCGCAAATGTAATTTTCAAGCTCCTCCTTCCTCGCGATAACCTTCTTCAGATATATTCTCAGCTATTACTTATCGTGACGAAGCGCGGCTTCGCCATTACAAACCCTTCCTTGCCAATGCGGACAAGCTGTGGGATCAGTTTGTCCGAGAAATACGGTGGCTCGTTATAAAGCTAGATTTCTGCGAGATTTTATGTTCGTGCCATCCTGGTCAAGGCTCTTAATCTGCCGTGCCACTAAAGTTTTCCCACCTCTCAGATCAATAGAAACTTCCTCGACTATACTCGCAGACAATGCTTGTACAGCGAAAGTTTCATCACGAATTCCCGTCGGGATGTCGAGAAGCATCGAAAATGATGCGTAAAACATCGCAGTTTCTTTGACTGATAAATTTCCGCTCGTAAATATACTTTTTCTTTCTTCCGCGTCGAGGACAAATTACTTTAGTACGTGCGTAAAAAGAGGATGAAATGACGTCGGTATAATCGGCTTGATGTAGCAATATATTTAACTCAAAGCGATTAATTGTATTACTTTTTATTAATAATCCGTGACTTACAAAGCAGATAACATCTTTGCAACAAAGTTATCGAAAGCAACTGGCAATTAGAAAACTGTGGAACATAAAACTTTCGTATAATATTACCGTCACAATATACGAAAGTTTCAAATTTTCCACAATTTGATCGCAGACTCCTATATTCTAATCTGTTATCTGATTCGGAGTTAAGTG